AGAGTGAAAAAAACCTGGTTTTAACTATGTCCTGTTAATTTGACCTACATACTGCTGGTAATGAACCCTCAGGCTATACCACTGTGTTTCTTTCATACTCTGAAATTTACACTGCCGTGTGGAGAATTTCTGAATGTAAAATAAACTCAATTTTGCTATTCTTCGGTGAAAGTCAGCAAACCAACACTGATACCTGGAAGGTCCTAGTTCTCTTGTTGATGTAACAAGGAGAGACAGATCCCTCAAAGGGAGATGTTACTCTCTGCAGTGAAGGATGCTGCTTCCCCAGACATCCTTCCCCTGCCCCTTACCAGACCTTCAGAAGAGAAGAGCCAGGACCCATCCATGGAATCTTTGCTCCCCAGCAGCCCCCCCAGCCCCAGAGAACTCCCCAGCCTGCGCGAGCTCCATGGGGATGGCACGGAGAGTAGGGTCTCGTCCTTCCCTTTCCTCTCCCGTATGCATACACACATGTCCAGTTTTATGTAATCAGGAACAGATTTTTCCCTTATGTAACTCCTGTGCTGCACGGGGATCCAGGTAGTTTATGTTTCTATGACTTTTTTTTTTTCCTAAATCCCTCTGGCTTTACTGTCTCCACTGAAAAAAAAACAGTTCGGGTTTTTTTTTTTAGTAGAGGATTTCTCCTTTCACCTATGAAAAGCTTTAAAAGTCTTTAAATTTTTATCAAGCTTTTCTAGTCTTGTTTTGAAATGCTTGATAGATTAATATTAGAACACTTTATAAAACTGTAATCATGCACACATATTAAAAATATGTATTATACACATATTTGGAACAAATCCTAAGCATACAATAAACCCAAAGTATTCACTAGAAAAAGTAACTGTTGCAAATAGGGATGGACTTGTTCCTCCTACGTTTTCTTGTGTTAAGATTATGGTGAAGGAGTAAATTATGAATTTTCTAATGGCAGAAAATGTTAAAGAGAAGGTTTAGAAACACCTCCTTCTGATGTGCCTTTGATCAACAGGATGTCTTTGGGCCACTTTTTATTGGCATTCAGTATGAACACAGGCTAGGCATCAGAACATCACAGTCTGTGACAAGGTAGTTATTACGGAACAGAAACACACACCAAGGTATGAACTGGAGGTTGTTCATGGCCAGGAAGTCTTCTGAAACAGCTTAAATTAATTTAATCTGTACCACCAGCCAAAGAAAAAAGCTTTCCCAGAATTCAGTCCTTTCAGTCATGGAAATGCAACTGTCACTCTGAAGGGGTCATAATTCAACATTTGCAAAGTTCACCGAAGACCTGCCACATTTAGAACACAAATTCACAAACTATTCATGCCATTCCTAAAAAACCCAAAGGATCGGTCACTCAGATACAGGATCATCTTTCCTTCCTTCACATACTACTGGCCCAACCACCAGCAAGCTGCCAGTGCTAGATTCTCAACATTTATCTGCTCTCAAACACAAATTCCCAAGAAATCTCATGGCAAAGGCAAGCCAACTGTGAGCTCCTTGGATCTGAGGCTCACACTCAAACCTTGGATGGTGCTGAAGCAGCCTGAGAAGCACCACCACGTCCCCTAAGTAAGAAGGCAACACACATCCATTCAGAAGAAAATATAACCAGAATAACAAGTTTCACTGTGTCTCCTTAGCAACTCAAAGAGGGTGTTCAGACCTGAGTTCTGCCCTTTACACCGGCTTCCACAGCATCTGAGATGAAATGCCAGGTTCTGGTCCTCACCGCCAACACTTGCTGTTGTGATGCTACGTGAAAGAATGTTTAACGCCATAGGTTGAGGGATGTAGCTGGCAGTTTTATTCCTCTGACTGAAAAGAGTACTACACGGAACACATAACATTTCATGGTCAGAGGCTATGAGAATGTCTTTTCTAGAAACAAAGGACTGTGTCTAACCTACTCATCTCCTCACCCATGTATCACTGCATTTCTCTGGTGGGGCCTTCCTTTTCAGAAACCCCTAGCAACACATCCACTTGAAGGCAAAACACCTTCCCCCTCCTCTGCCATTCCCTCAAGGTTTACATTATCCAAGTAAACACTTCACTGCACATGGTTTTTTTTCTGGGGAGAATAAAACTAAAGAAAAAAAAGACAAACGCTAATCATGTTACTTAATATTGCACAAAGGAGGTTGATATAACAGATGTATTTGTGGGGTCTGCAGCTAATGGCGTATATTGCTTTTAGGAGCAATAGCTATTTCTGGAAAAGAGAGAAAAAGGAGAGAGGATGAGGGAGGGAGGGACAGAGAAAGTGGAAAAAAAACACAGAAAAAGGAGATAGTAGGAGGGAGGAACAGAGGGAGAACGAAATAGAGAAAGGGAAAGGGAAATGGCACTTTGGCACCAGCCAACTGAATAGGTCTCTCACACAAATGACCTCTTATGTACAACGTGTGGTCGCAATACTTCTTCCATAATAAATATGTAATTTTCACTGGGATCTGCAGAGACTCTCTGCTGCTTGTTGTAGCCTCTCATGCTGTTAGTGCTCACTGGAGCCTGCTTTCATCCAAGGCAAGGCCCATCTAGCAGGTGCATGTAAATTTTTTGGGTAGTATTTATTAGCCACTTAAATGACTATTACCAACTAAATCTTGTTTTCTTCTCTCATAGACTACAAAACAAGGATTGGAAAAGAGGAGGGGGGAGAAGGGACTAATTCTCACATTGTTGGCCACTGTGTCCTGTGAGAGCTAGCTGTAACATTGGGTTTTGCAGGTGCCATCCCACAGAATAACAGCACAACAGCAGAAGGGAAGCCCCTTTCCCAGCCCAGGCATTTGTACACAAAATCAGAGCGCTCTCACATCACCGACCTTGTCAGTGTTACTCACTCTGGAATCTGTTTACCTCTTTAGGTAGGTTTTATTGCCACTCAAATTCAGTTTAGTTCAAGTTTTGATCCCTTGACTTAATCTGAGAGAACAAAAGAGGATTTAATTTATAACCAGGTTCTGTTCAGAAGTTATTTGCAATGGGTTGATATATGACTGATATACATCAACAGGAGTCTACACGCACGAGCAACATCTGCTGAACTATAGATTGTTCAAAGAACATGAACAGAAAATACCCAGAAGAAGCATAAAAATTTCTTGACCTATGGAACAGCTTGACTGCTTACCATTTACTAAATGCTTTTTGATTCTTTGTTAGCTTTCTATTAACACATTATAATCAGAACTTTAATATAAAACCCAAATAAAGCTTGACAGGCACTTATGTTTGGTTTTGAGGTTGCCATGAAGCAGTGAATATCAATTGTCAGAGGTTAGAAAGTTGACATTTTTAACTACCCCTCAGAGAACTTATAAAAACTAACACCTTCAGGAGTAAGTAATAATAGGAAATGACAATTTCTGGAATTAGATATGCCAAATCATTTATCACATTCAGCAATTACCATCAAATTCAATTTGAAAAGATCAGGCGGACATAACGGCGCGAAATCATTAATAAGTTAACAATTTCATTTTCCCTCAGGACCGCGATTCATGAGATATTCAGGAAAGCGATTGGTTTCATCGTGATAGGTTCTAGTTTAGAGCTGGCAGCGATGAATGAGGCACATGAAAAATGAAAAAAGCTGGAGAACAACTGTCAGGACCATGGGGAACTGCTCTGAGAGCCTGATGGAGAGTTTGCTGAGCACAAATTGGGTGTTCCAAGGGAAGGCAGAAAGAAATCTGCTCAGCATTTAGGGTGCACAAGTTGAGGAACTGCTCTTTTTTGCGTTTTCAGGTTGTCAGGTCAAGCTAACAGTGAAGCCGAGGGGGAGGTCAACACAGCAAGCACGCACCATCATGCTGGGACCGTGCCGGTCATTCCCACCTACCTGTCTTCCCTCCATGGCTCCTCGCATCTCCTTGAAAGTTGAGCTGAATTCTCCGATGAAGTCGTGCTTTCCGTTGGAATCCCAGTCCCACACGATGCACTGAGGAAGCAAAGACAGGAGAGCGTGTTTATCTTCAGATAGTAAACCAGGTTTTATTATTGAAAGATGCTACAGGAGAAATTATGATGCACGTTGGGTGACGTGTTTTATCTAGAAGGAAATCACAAGACGTATTAAAAACACATTCTTGCCAAGATCAAAGCAAAACCACAAGTGGAATCTCAGCACAGCTTGCTGCTGACAGTTGTGTGTCAGGGAGTTTGCTTCATCTATTTTAGAAAGAAAGGATCCCTTGACTTCTCGCTTTTCGCTAGGTGTAAAAATACAGGACCGTGTGTATTTGCATGCTCACTGTCAAACAGTGTCCTGAATTAAGAGTAACTCACCTCACTGAAGTGCTTTAGAAATCTAAATTAACATTCAAAACACTAGTTGCTGTGGGCAAACATTACCATTAGCATTTTTACAGTCAGTGAAGGTGAGACAATAGTTACGGAGTTCACTTTCTGAAACGGCTTTGAATTTATACCTGCCTGTGTCTAGTGCCTGTATCTTGGCTGTTTTCCAGTGCTGCTCAACAGTGACAATTCAAACCAAACCCCACTGGTAATCATTCCTAAATCCATGCATAAACATGAATATCTCGGTGGGTTTGAGCTCTGAGAATTTTATTTTACAGACACTGCTAAATACAATCCAGCTAGCCAAGACTGAAACACACAGCAATAACTACATGCTTTGCTAAATATTAATTTTAAAACTGGCCCAAAGACAACGAAAGAGCTCACAACTGTAGAGAACAAAATCTCAAATTCAGCCTCGTGGTCTCCCTAGATAAAGCTTGAGTACATTGACAGAATCAGGAGGCCTTTACTGAAAATGTCCTGTTACAAAAGATGTCTTTTTGGTTAGAATTTTAACTGGAGATAAGCAACATTAAATTACATTTAATATGTCCACCCTACAGGGCCCCAACTGCTTTTTCTGTCAAGCTAGAGGTTTTCTAACTTTAGCTTTCAGAAAGCCAGATGGTACTTTAATCTTCATATTGGCTTCATGGAAAAGACAAACAACTACAGTATTATTACGGTATCGTTTGCACAATTAGAGCCGAGGAAGAAAAGGGGTTCCTGCAAGTACGGTCATTATCGTTTCTGTTTTTTCCAGAGTTTCACATCTGGCCACAGAAATTAATTGTTACTCTCTGAAAAACATGTCATACACAGAAAACTTGCACCCACACTGGAGCTACAACAGCACAGGCTTCTCTAGCTAATTACCTGATGCTTCCCAGAAGATGACAGCTAGATTAATCTTGCTGCCTCTGCACAATTTCTGTTTGTAATTGTATTTCACAAAAATACAAACTGGACCAGTTTCCAGCTCCAGCCAACACTGATGTTCTGTGACGCAAAGATGCCTAGATAAACAGCAAACCCATTTCTCTATCCAGCGTCTCACACAGAGTGACACAATTTTCCTGTTTGATAATTCAATAGCAACAAAAGAAATCCTATCTCATATCCAGATCATATGACTCAAACTCGAGTATTATTTATTTTTAAAGTTTAATTTCTGAGGCAAGAAAGTGATGTTCCATGTCTTAATATGAGAGTCAGACTATGCTTTCACTTGGCAAAATTCTTGTGCAATTGTCATAAAACAATTCTTCCTGTGCTCACCATCCTATCTAGCTTTAACCACGAGAACTAAGTAAGAGGAACAACTGACAACTCAAGTGTGTGTTTATGGGGGTGTCTGTAGGTACTGAGATTATTTCCCTAAAAATGCTTCAAGTGATTTGTTCCCATTAGATCGTCACAAGGAGAGAACTATTCTATCCAGCACCTTTGGCAGGGGCAATGGAGAGATTTGTAACAACCTTTTAATTTATGAACCAGGCTGAAGCATGCTCCGAAGACTCGTTTTTAAGACTGGCAGGGAGTCTCATGACTAAACTCTATCTGCAGGCAGCTGACAGCCAGACCATGGAAATGTACTTTTTGAAAATAATCCATTTAAGCTCCCCTCAGATGGCCAGATGCTGCAGATTATAGCACACACACGTGTTTTTCCTTGCATTTCTGTGAAACCAGGTATCCTGCAGCTAGGCAAGAAGGAGAATGCTCATTTTCGGACTTGAACATAATAAATTACAGCCCAATCGGTTATAAAGTTCTTATCATTCAACTCTAAACTCAAATAGCACGATAATGATTTTTCAGTAGAGTTTATATGATACCTACAATCTCTCAAAGAAATGAAGTCTCAAGGTAAATGTCAGTGACTTGCTCAACTTCTAGAATCACCCTGAGCAGCAGGTGGTACGAGGTGGCAAAATGCTATAAACAGAAACTCTTCAGTTAATTCTCTAAGATCAGTGACAACATTGAAAAAATAATAATAATAAAAAAGATTTGGAAAAGTCAAACAGAGAAGGTGAAAAAAACCTCAGAAAGAAATTTACTTGATCATCAAAGTGATTTTTCTGGAACAGTCTCATCAGGGTTATTATTTTTTGATAATGAAGGAAATCTCCTACTGTACCTCCCTGAAGTACATGCACCTGCTTGGAATACTTCAAAGAAGCTTTTTTTGTAGGAAGGCCTTTATCTACTACCCACCCTTTACCCCACTTGGGTATGAGAAAAGCTGTGCAAAATCTCCAGTACAAAAGCTAAAACACTTCAGGTTATCCTGTTTCTGTCATTCTGATGTTCCAAGGCTGAAATCGACATTACACACATCACAACTCTGGGTTACATGCTGGAGAATAACTGTAAAGAAATTTGGTCTTTCCTGCCGTGTATAAAATTCTTCCCTCTGTTTTTTTTTTTTTTCCCCTTTTCATCCAAGCTGGTGATCACAGTTTTGTCTTTTCACTAGTTGTGCTTCTGCGCAAAGTTAAACCAAACTTTTTATGGCTCATTTCAGATTTGCTCTGAAGTTGGGCTCCAGCAAGCATAGAATGAATTAGCTTAAACAACCCAGTGTTTCTTGCAAGCCTCTCCCTGGCTGAAGGAAAGTCTTCCTCAGAGCACTGTAGATAAAATTTTTCCTCTTGATTAGCTCAATTCTTCAAGCTGAACCATTCAAAACCCCCTGGACTAACAGCATCTAGTGAGGCCACATTCTTCCCCTATGGAGAAGATGAGGCATTATGGAATATACATATGTATTATAATGTAACATATGATAATTCTATATATTACAATACAATATAATTCTACATTAATATAAAGAATATAGAATTTATAAAATAAGTATATACAGTACCATATATATTATATTATATATACACAGTCCAAATCAACAACTAAAATAATGCATTACTCTTGCTTTATGGGAATCCTTCCTTGCTTCTTGAGCAAGGTTGTTCTGTGAACACTGACTCATAAAGAAACTCAGCTGCATGTACTAGAACTAAAAGAAGGAATCTGACAGCTTTTTGTGAGTGCAACAATATTTTTGAGAGACAAACAGTCTGCTGCACACAGAATGCTCTAGAAAGTAGTTCCTTAAATCACTATCAAGACTTTTTTTTTTTCCAATTACGCAGAGCAAAGCATGTGCAAACAGTCATTTATTTAATTAATTTTGTTTCCCACCATCTTCCGAACCATCTGTGAACAGTGAAGTGATATATTTATTTTGAAGAGTTTCTGTGGTTATCCTCTTTCTCACTTGTGAGGAATTTGTTGTGACTAAGTGAAAGTTCAAAGTCTGGTACTAAACAACCTCAACAAAATTCTGACATATTCACAGCATAACAAAACTAAGAGCCCAGAGCGCACAGAATCAATGAGGAGAAGCCTGGCATTGAGATTTTCAGGAAGGAAATATCCATTCAAATTGTTTCTTGGCATGTTTGCCAGTCACAATAAAAGGTAATGCTGTTTATACCAACCTGACTTTGGGATTTTCATGGAAATGCAGTGCTTCGGAAAAATGAGGACTTCAGTAAAGAGTGTAGCTAGCACTCTAAACCAGCCTTTCAAGAGTTGAGCTCGTGCCTGTGCTCCAAATAAATGACAGGAAGAAACAGTGCTTAGGTATCTAAGTACTTTCTCTGAATATGCAGTCAGGTACTTAGATTGCATAAATGACCAAAATTACGCCAGAAATAACTGGAGATAAATAAAAAGAGGCCTGGTTAAAACTGAGCTGATAACTCATTCCCTAATGTCAACACTAGGAAAATGATGAAGGTGTGGACGTTCTTGCATTACTCTGCCAGGTGAATTACAAAGCTATAATTAAAATAATTACCAGTGGAAGAAGAAAGAGAATCAAACATTTAATTCAATGTAATTATAACCTCTATTTCCTCCTAATGTGAGTGATTTATCTACAATTAAAGGAGGTAAGGACACTTAAATAAAACATGTGTCTGTATCAATAGGCTATCTTTAAAATAATGTTCACACGCCAGTAAGAAAGAGACCCTACACAGAGAAGAATATTCAGGAAGAGTAAAGAAATTATTTTAACTGATCAGAAGATACTCTCTGAAGACTACCCAAAAAGAAAAGTAATTGAAAAAAAAATCCAAGTCATAAATACCAAGCTCATCCTATTAAAAAACTGCAACTGGAACTAATAAGACTTTTTAATATCTTCTCTGTTTTCATTATGTTCCTTCTCCCACTTTCCCAAACTGTGTGGTATGTCTGCACATGGGCTCTGTACAAGTCCTCACTTTCTAGAAATACAGTTTCATACATTTGTGTGAAGTACAAATGTACACTAACAACTGTGAAAAGGAGATGGAAGAAAAGCACTAAAAAGCATGTCAAAAGCCACATGTTAAAAGTGACTGCAATAAAGAATTCATAGCAGAACACTCAGTAGTTGGGCATCCTTTGGCACTAGGAGACAGGTTTCCCTATTAAAAAATAGAAGAGAAAATGCCACCAGAGAGATGAGAAAGATGTAAAAGAACAACATCAACCAGTTAGTCATTCTAACAAAAAGAAAAATCTCTCTGAGGTTGAAACACAGTTTTCAGGGCATGAGTTTTCCTTACCTGTGGCACGTGT